GGTCGCGCCAGAGACTTGGAGGGGCCTCGGGCTAGGACGGAGGGCGGAACCTTCGGGCCCGGCACGGTAGGCTCGCCGGAAGGAACGCTGGAGGCAGCGCTCGGTGCACGCGAGACCCGAGAAGGGCGGCCGGGCCGGGGCAGCTCAGCGGGCTCCAGCCCCCCAGACACCGGACGGGGCGCCCCCAGTCCGGCCCGGCTGAGACCGCGCCCCGCCCCAGGGCGCCGAGAGACCGAAGGGTCCGGTCCCGGCTTCTCCGGGACCTCCCGCGGCCGCACCGCGCCCCGTGCCCGGCGCTGGGGCGGACAGCGAGGCTCGGGCCTGCTCCCGGGAGTAGGTGAGTCGCACGGACTACGACTCGACTCGGCACGCCGGTCGGTGAGCGACGGGGACGCCGGCGGCGGCGTGCGGGTTCGGGTTCCGGAGCCGGGGCGACTCCTGCTCCGGATCCCCAGGGTGTGGCCCGGGAGAGGGAGCAGACCTTCCCGGGCCGCAGGGGAGCCGGGAGGAGGGGCTCCCCTCCCCGGGGTAGCGGTTTCCAGTTTGCCAAAACTAATGTTACGCTGGAATGATCTCCTGTCTGATTGCGCCAGGATTTACTCTGGGTCCCGTGTGACAGGTGAAGAAACGGGGTGGGCTGAACCCAGATGTAGTTAGGTTATTGGCTGTATGGCCGTGGGCTGGAGAAGGACTTAAAATGCCGTTTTTTTCTCCTCTGTGTAATGGAACTAGTGATAGGACTTGCTTCCTGGCTTGTGGGACGCTAACGGGAGTTAATGCATTTGAAGGGCTTACCCACGGCAAGAGCTCACCAGGTACTAACTGTTGTTGTACCTGGTAAGAGCTCACCAGGTACTAACTGTTTTTGCTGGTTTGGGTTGTTATAGTTGTTTTTGAGTTATTGACATAATATTTTTAATTGAATTTATTAGGGGTGACATTGGTTTACAAAACCATACAGATTTCAAGTGTCCAGCTCAGTAAAACGTCATCTGCACACTGCATCGTGGGTCCATCACCTCAAGCAAAGTGTTCCTCCCCATTTCCTCCCCTTTGCCTATCTCCACGTCCCTGCTTCTAGCGGGATGTGGCAGAGCAGTTACTGAGCTGTGTGATTCTGGCTCCCCATGTCAGCCCATCGCATCTCACTCCAATTCACTTCTAATTTTTTCCAGTGTCTAATGCAAGGCACTGCCAGATGCTGAGAACAATACACACACGCAAAAGACTTGATTCTCACCCTTGAGGAACGTGTGCCCTCTGGTAGGTGAGAAGTGCAAATGATTGTAACGCAAGGTGGGCTTCAGCCCCCCCCCCCCCCCAGACAGTATCGCAGGAAAGTAATATTTAAAAAGTTTGCTGGATTTCTAGACAGGCATGACACCTAACTAGAAATTTCTACATAGACTAGGGGCTTTGGAGGTGGGTCTGGAGGATAAGTGGATAGAATCGGAGGGGAATGTAGGTCAGCGACCTGAATTAAAGAACTGGGGCCCCCGTGGCAGCTGCAGAAGCTGGGGTGTGGTGGGGTAGATGATGAGGAACAGTTGATGGAAAACTGCCTGGAATAGATCTCAATCCTGGCTACATAGAAGATCACTGATACCTGGTGTAATTGCTCAGGTGGCTCTAAAGTGCAGACATTATGGAGCAAACTAACCTAAAACCGGGAACTATAAACTCATCTCTCACCCCATTTGTAAGTATTGAAATAGGAACAAACAGCTTAATTATGTTAAGCTTAATTACTACTACATCTGGTAAAATTGTTTAAAATTAAATAGCGTCATTTGAAAGGACTTTAATACAGTACATAGTAGGTGCTCAGTAAATGTAAATTGATTCTGAATTTCATGTATAGCTTATTTGAGAGTCATACATCTGAGAATCTGTTTTAAAAATTATGGTTTCACATCATACTTTTGCATATAATTTTGGGGTGTTCATAGGATTCTCCATAACTCATCTATGGGCCCATTACCCTCACTTCCAGCTCAGAAGCCAGGCTCTAAAGCATTTATTTTTTTATTTTTTTATTTTATTTTATTTTTTAACATATTTTTTTTATTGATTTCAGAGAGGAAGAGAGAGAGATAGAAATATCAATGATGAGAGAGAATCATTGACCGGCTGCCTCCTGCACGCCCCCAGCTGGGGATCAAGACTATAACCTGGGCATGTGCCCCTGACTGGAATCGATCCCGGGATCCTTCAGTCCCCAGTCTGATGCTCTCTCCACTGAGCCAAACCAGCTAGGGCTCTAACGCATTTAGCATGAACGTAGCCTTTCCTCGTTACCCTTAGGGGGCCCATACAGCATTGCTCTTGGTTCCCATGCAACTTAAAGGGAAACTTCCACAATGGCCAAAGCCCTTGATGTCCTGCAAATGAAGGAGGAAGATGTCCTCAAACTCCTTGCAGCAGGAACCCCTGAAGTGGCACCAATCTTGACTTCTAAATGGAACAGTGCATCTATGAAAGGAAAAGTGATGGCATTTGCATCATAAATCTGAAGAGAACCTGGGAGAAGCTTTTGCTGGCAGCTGGTGCCATTGTCGCCATTGAAAACTCACATGATGGCAGTGTCATATCATCCAGGAACACCGGTCCGTGAGCTCTGCTGAAGTTTGCGGCTGTCCTTGGACCTACTCTGATTTCTGGGCACTTCACTGCTAGAACCTTCCCTAACCACATCCAAGCAGCCATTGGAGCCAACTTCTGATCCCAGGGCTGACCACCAGCCCCTCACAAAGGCGTCTTATGTTAACCTGCCACCATTGCTCTGTGTTACATAGCCTCTCCTCTGTGCTATGTGGACATTGCCATCCCTTGCAACAACAAGCAGGCCTTGTGGTGGGTGCTGGAGAAACAAACACTGTAGATGTTTGTAAAGGTTTTGTGATACACTCTCCTCTCAAGACCTTGACGGTCTTTCTCAGCTCCTCCCAAGGCTGAAGTCAATAAGATAAGTCTTGCCTCATTACCTTGACGGTCCTTTTCAGCTCCTCCCAGGGCTGAAAATGTCAGATAAGACCTCTCTCTGCTGGATTCACGTAAATGCCCTTTAACCATGTGACTCAGGCTGTTCTGGGAGAGGAGTATGCAGATTAGGATTGACTGTGTTTGATTTAAGTGGCAATAATGGAAATTCAGAATTTAAATTTGGATAGGGTGCTAATACCATCTTTTGTGTGTGTTTTTTTCTGTAGATGGCAGGATTTCTATAGTATATCTAGTATGAGTTCCACATCTTGGTCTCTTATCCAATTTCAATAGTCTCATCTCCACCATCTGGAGAATAAATGGGATAGTTGCATGAATTCCAGACTCTGAACTGAAATAGACTGCAGTGTTCATATTCTTTTCTTGTTATTATTAACAGTACTAACTGACCTCAAATGGAACTTGTCATTGTCTTAGATAGGGATGCAACATAAGCAGAACCATTTTCATATGTTGGAACAAAATTATTTTTTGAAAGTGTCATTGTTTTAAATGAATTTGTCTAAATTTTGTAGTGTCGTCTTTTATGTGAAAAGCCATGTCCTTTGTACATTTCAATAAAAAAAATTTTTGTTAAGAGGGAGAATATTTGCAAATGCATTTTTTAGTCTCAATATTTTAATTGACAGGATGGTAAATTTTGTTGTTGTTTTGATTAAACTATTTCCATAGATTCTCATTCATATTTCTTTTTTACATTTAAGTTATCTGAAATTATGTATATTTTAGTGGCTGTGATTAAAAAGCATTGATTCGCCAAAACCGGTTTGGCTCAGTGGTAGAGTGTCGGTCTGCGGACTGAAAGGTCCCAGGTTCGATTCCGGTCAAGGGCATGTGCGTTGGCTGTGGGCAAATCCCTGGTAGGGGGTGTGCAGGAGGCAGCTGGTCGATGTTTCTCTCTCATCGATGTTTCTGGCTCTCTATCTCTCTCCCTTCCTCTCTGTGAAAAATCAATAAAATATATTTTTTTTAAAAAGCATTGATTCACACTTTAATTGTAGCATATTTGTGTCACCTAAAATAATGATAAATCTTAAACTTGATTTGACAAAATTTGGTATTATTTCCAAAATTTAATATTACTTTGCAGCTTCTTTAGTTACCTAAATCTCTTATATAGCATCTGTGCCTATAACATTTCTAGAACAGGGTATTCTAAACTGGGAGTAATTTTGCCCCTATGGAACATTTGGCTATGTACAGATATTTTTGTTTTGATTTTTAACATCAATGATGAGAATCATTGATCAACTGCTTCCTGCATGCCCCCTCCTGGGAAGTGGCCCACAATCTGGGCATATGCCATTGACTGGACCCTTCAGTCCTTAGGCCAACAACGCATTATCCACTCAGCCAAACGGGTTAAGGTGTCCAGATATTTTTGATTGTTACAACTCTTTTTTTTTTTATTTTATTTTTTTTTTTTATTGTTACAGCTCTTGAGGAAAAGGCATGCTATTGTTATCTAGTGAATTGAAGCCAGAGCTACTGTTACACATTCTACACAGAGGACAGCATCCTGCACCATAGAATTACTTATTCCCACGTCAATAGTGCTGAGGTTGAGAAAACCTGGATATAAAAAATTCATTTCTTTTTTAAAAGTATATCAAATATACTGTGACTTCTTTTGTGGGCAGGGCATGTTGCTAGGTTTAGTGGACAAGCCAAACTAATTTGGGATTTGTCCTTAAAATTTTTTTACATTATGCTTTTCCCCCTAAATTAGTCGTACTAACTGATAAAATCAGCAGTTAGAAGCACCTCTGTCATCCTTCTTGAAAAAAAGGCTGTTAACTATTGCAAAACTACTAGATTAGACATGCCTGTCATTTTTTAGTTCAGCAGGATAGTGAGAATATTGACTAATCCTTTGCACTTCTTTCTGAGGAAGTTTTTTGTGTATGTGTGTTTGTGTGCTACTAGACTTTTCTAAACTCAGCCTTTCCTATTCTTAACTGATTTGGATAATTGTCTTTAGCTCCTCAGAAAATTAAATGTCGGCAGAAGACCGAGAAGCTCAGGAGGATGAATTGCTGGCCCTGGCGAGTATTTATGATGGAGATGAATTTAGAAAAGCAGAGTCTGTCCAAGGTGGAGAAACGAGGATCTATTTGGACTTGCCACAGAATTTCAAGATATTTGTGAACGGTTAGTTAACAATATTCTCTTAAACTGATTTTTCTAAATAAAGATTATTCTCAATTTGTTAGTGAAACCTAAATGATTTATTTTTCAATTACAGTCTGCATTGAGTATTATTCTATATTAGTTTCAGATGTACAGCCAAGTGGTTAGAATGCCATGTACTTCACAGAGTGGTTCCCCCAGTGCTTTCAGTGCCCAGTTGGTCCCATACATAGTTATTGCTGTTATTATGATAACTATATTCCCTATGTTGTAATCTTCATCTCTGTGACTCTTCTGTAACTGTCAATTTTACTGCTTAATCCCTTCATCTTTTTCAACCAGGCCCCCTCCCTCTCTCCACTCTGACAACTCAGTCTGTTGCTGTATCTGAGTTTGATACCTAAATTACTTATCACCTTATGTTTTTAAGCATCAGTGATAAATGGTATTATTACAGATTTAGTGCATGATTCTGTTTTAAGTGAAAATTTAACTGGGAGGTAAACAGTTTTCAGTTTGACCATTGAATTTAGGATATTAGCCTACAAATTCCATGTATCCTAATCTTCTAACTAGCAGTTTATCAGCTACAATTCATGGGCCATTAAGTAGAGTTAATAAAAGAGGAAATTAAGTAATGCATGTGAAAACACTTGGAAGCTTTAAAGTACACTGGTGGTGGTTAATGCTATTTGGTTTCCAGAATCATTTAAACAAGAGGTAGCCAACCTTTCAGACCTCATGGACCATCAGTGGTCCGCAGACCACCAGTTGGCAACTGCTGCTCCAAAGGTTTCCTTAAACCAGTCGTCACCAACCTTTCGGACCTCACAGACCACCAGTTGGCGATCGCTCATTTAAACTACTATAAACATGCGACATGTGCTATTACTCTGTGACCCTTTACCTCAGAAACAAAACAAAACTGCTTTATTTGATACAGACATTTACAGGAGACGTTGATGCACGTTTTTTCAAATATTTCTATTTATAAAGACATTGAGAAAAGAAAGTGTGATAATGTAAAATGAAACTTTGCTTGTGAGTGTTGTGTGCTGTATCTTGTCCTCAAGCCTGAGATCACTATGTTGGAACAAATTGTCCCAACTATGATCCATGGGTAGTTGATATTTGCTGGTCTGAGTAGGTCATGGCTCTTTGATAGGAATAAACATGCTTTTTTCTAGATTGTGTTTGTAATCATCTACTGTAAAACAATAACAAAAGGAAACATTATGCATTACTTGCTCTTTACTGTTAGGCATTGTACTCAAAAGTGTATACAAGAATAAGTTGTGTATCTTCATTATAACTTTCATGGTTTTTCAAGGGCTTACAAGATTTTATTTTTTAAAGGTGGTGGCTAAGAAGTTAAAATTAGGAAATAGAAAGGGCTTTGGGGAAGGGTTTTTATCCCCTCAACAAAAGCATTAAGTCTTTCTTGAGCACTGCTCAACAGCAATGGACACTCAAGTATTGACCAACTGATCCTTTCTACTCTTTGTTTTTGGTTCAGGCAATTCAAATGAGTGTCTCCAGAATAGTGGCTTTGAATACACCATTTGCTTTCTGCCTCCACTTGTGCTGAACTTTGAACTGCCACCAGATTATCCATCCTCCTCCCCACCTTCATTCACACTTAGTGGCAAATGGCTGTCACCAACTCAGGTTAGACCCGGAACTTAATTTCTCTTATCCATTTTTAGAAACTTAAAAAAATCATCTTTAATTGAAGACTACCTTGATCTTGACTTCAATGCATGGAGAACAGATGGTTTTGATTTTGTAATTTTTTTCCCCTTGCCTTCATGAATCCTAATGTTAATGGGTTGGAAATGTTTGGTGTTTTAGAAAGGAATGGCAGTAATTAAAATTACTAATCATTATGCATAGCGATAGGAGTAATTTCTAATCAAGTGTATTGTTTCTTTTCTTTTTTTGCTATTTTCCCATTTACTCTGTATTATGATGAAACTATAAGTTCCTCCTCATTTTCCTTAGATGTTGGAATTACTTCTTTTTCTTAATTTCTTACTCATTCCTTAAAAGAAAGATTTAAATATAATTAGGAGGACTAAAATTGATCTAATATAGTTAGAATAAACACATTTCTTAAGTAAACATATAAGTGCTTTTATTTTTAAAGTTCTGAATAATAGGAACAAATAATTGTAGACTGGTCTCTAACATCCATATGATTACACTCAAATAGAAATGAATGTGATTCCTGTAGATAGCTAATGAAGGCTTGAGACCTTATATTATGAACAGTAATTTCCTCCCGATTATATAACCTTTCCTAGTAACAACCTTAACTCATGATTGAGACATAAACATGACTTGAAGCTAATATAGTGTTCTGGGGTAGATAATGGATCAATAACAGCTACTTTTCTAGAAGTCATGATGAAGATTGATAGATTGATGTATATTAAGACAAAAGCTGTCAGAGTTATTGACCTTAAGGAGCAGCTTGTCAGTCTTTCCTTTTTGATCATGTATTTTTCAGTCCCTCACTTCTCCTTGCCCCAATAGTCTAATCTTTAGATAAGAGTGCTTTTATAAAATTGAGCTTAAAATTGAGGTTTAAAAACAAAATTAAATTTAAAAAAGATAATACACATAGAATAAAAAGGAGTATTACCTTACATTCTAATAGCTGTGCCAGAGGCAATACATGCTAGACAGTTAATTATTTGCCCACTTCCCTATATTAAAGGCTATTTAACATTTAGATCACTGATAGTTGACTAAATTATTTAGATATTTATAGTCCCATTTCTCAAGAGAACTCCTGATATTTATATCCATGCGTGTGTATACACACACACACACACACACACACAAACACACACACACCACACAAGGAAAGATTAACAGGTGTGTGGCTGTAGTTTCAGATTCAGTCAAATAGAATCTACTTAATGCTAGCTTGGAGGGTGTGGGAGAGGAGAGTTGTTCATTATTTTATGTTATAAAGCTAAAATTACAGTAGGATTTTCTATCAAATAAAAATTTTGTGTATACAATTGACATTTAGCTCCTCTCTTACACTCCTTCTTGGTTCAGTTACTGTTTGTTGCAGGGCCCTGATTCCTTGGCATTATGAATGTCACCTGTTGATAGTGAAGTTGACACATGGGCCTGTCTTTCACTGAATTGGGGTTGGTAATTAGAAGGGAAGTAGGCTTAGTTTTCTTGAATTTTTCATTTTTCCTCCCCCAATATATGTACATGCACAATCTCTCTTTTTTCCTTTTCCTCTTCTATCTCTCCTTTCTCACATTTATGTGTATCCCCGACGCCTCTTTGGAGAAGGGGCTGGAGAAGAAAAGAGGATGGAGGAGAATGGCTTCTTCATTGGATTTGGCTCAACAGAACTCAAAGCTTCCCTTTTAGTGTTAGTGTTTACTCCATTTCACAACTTTCAACAGGTTTCTAAAAAGTGTGGCTGATCTTATAAGCATATTCATGTACATGTGGAAAATCACTAGTGGTTTAAGTTCATGCCTGTGAAGGGTTGAGTGAGTAGCAAGGAACAGAAAACGTAGTCCTTGTTCACTTGTTATTTAAATTTACAAAATTGATTAGCATCTGGAAGACTTAATTTTTTTTATGTTTGCCTAAAAAGAAAAACTGCTTGTAATTCCTGAGTTCTGCTTACAGATATTTCACATTTCTAATAGTCATTTTATATTTGTCATTTAAATAAAACATACTTCTAAGGTAGAAAAGTTGAAATAGTTTAAACTTTGGTTGCTTTCCTTAGAAAGTATGAATTTTCCCTATGGCAGCCAAACCACATTGCAGGCTTGTAATCCTGTCCAGGTCCATATCAGTATGTCTGCCTCCATTACCCAGGTTCTGGAATAAGCCCAGATTGCTTAGTTAAAACCAGCTTGTAAATCTGAGTAACAAGGACTCTGAGGTTGGATCCTGTAACTGATCTTTTCATGAGTTGACTTTTTGAAAGGACTTGGAAGAATTAATTTTAAACCTTTAAACTGTTCTCTTTCTAACTGTTATTGCAGGACATCTACAGGGCTAAGGCTCGACAGGAATAGAAACAGTTAACTTTAGAACTGGATCCCTTTCTCCTACATGAGGTATATAGCAATATTGACACAAAGGACAGTTAAAGAACAAAGAGAGTCCTCCATGCAGCGGAGCATATGTAAACCTAGTTCCACATGTTGTGCAGTCATACCATCTCTCTTGTTTTCATGGTACTTCCTCTAGCTTCTGACTTTGTCTTCTACTATGGCACACGTTGCTGAATAACTTAAGAAGTGATCTGATAAGAATATTGGTGCTGTTTGATAGCACAGTTTATCACAGTTGTGAAAAAAAAATCACTTTGGGAAGTGTGAGAGCCTTACTTAAAGTTTCAGGGGAGAACAGGAGTTGAAAGCATCATGATCTTTCCAAATTCACCTACCTCCCCATGTGTTTTCTCCTAGCTGTCTGCTCTCTGCAAGCACCTAGACAACTTGTGGGAAGAACACCGTGGCAGTGTGGTCCTCTTTGCCTGGATGCAGTTTCTTAAGGAGGAGACCCTAGGGTACCTGAATATTGTCTCTCCTTTCGAACTCAAGATTGGTTCTCAGAAAAAATTGCAGAGAAGGACGGCTCAAGCCTCTGGCAACACAGAGCTAGATTGTAGAGGAGCCGCTGGATCTGCTCTAGACCAAGAGGAAGCTGTGGATGAGAGAGCCGTGCAGGATGTGGAATCATTGTCCAATCTGATCCAGGAAATCTTGGACTTTGATCAAGCTCAGCAGATAAAGTGCTTCAATAGTAAATTGTTCCTGTGCAATATCTGTTTCTGTGAGAAGCTGGGTAGTGAATGCATGCACTTCTTGGAGTGCAGGCATGTGTACTGCAAAGCCTGTCTGAAGGACTACTTTGAGATCCAGATCAAAGATGGCCAAGTTCAATGCCTCAACTGCCCAGAACCCAAGTGCCCTTCAGTGGCTACTCCTGGTCAGGTAACTTTACCAACAGTTGTGTCCTAATTTTATTTGACAAAGGGAGACATCCTCTCAGGAACTTTTTTGCTAGGGCTCATCAGGGCATTCTGAGGTCTTGAAGCCTGCCCACGAGTTGTTTCACTATATCCATCAGTAATACTATGGTCTTGCCTAGCCTGCGTGGCTCAGAGGTTGAGCGTTGATCTATGAGCCAGGAAGTCAGGATTTGATTTATAGTAAGGGCACATGCCCAGGTTGTAGGCTCGATTCCTCATATGGGACGTGCAGGAGGCAGCAATTCAGTGATGTTCTCTCATCATTGATGTTTGTATCTCTCCCTCCCATTCCTCTGTGAAATCAATACAAATATATATATATATATATTTCTAAATAAAAGAAAGGAGTTAAAAAATTTTTTTAAAAAATGCTATGGCCTTGCCCTGGCCGACATTACCCAGTGATTGGAGCGTCAGCCTGGACACATGTACCTGGGTTGCAGATTCAATCCTTACCTCTGGTTGGGGCACACATGGGAGGCAACCAATTGATGTGTGTCTCTCACATCAATGTTTTTTCTCTCTCCTCTCTCTTTCTTTCCTACCCTCCTCCCTTCTACCATCTCTAAAAATCAACAGAAAAAATATCCTCACTCCTCGGGTGCGAATTAAAAAAAAAAGAATACTATGGTCTTTACCATTTAAGCATACATAAATGCTTTCTTTGTTGGCCTCAGAATGGGCAGTCCTCAGCAGGGATGAATGTTGAAAAGCTGTAAAGTAATTCTGGTGACTTACTTTATATATTTACTAGAATGCCATTGACCTTGGAGAATTACTGCCTGTCTTTGTGTGAGGTTGGAATCTGAAGGGGATATCTGTTGGAATGGCTAATTGAATCATTTATAGACTATAACCTAAGGACAGCCTGCTTGGTGTGATTTTAAAAAATCAAATCTATGAAGGCATAAATGTACCTATTTAAAGTGTACAGTTTGCTTAGTTGTTTTTTGTTTTGTTTTGTTTTTTAAAAGTATTTTTAGAGAGAGGAAGGGGGAGAGAGAGAGAATATCAATTTGTTGGTCCAGTTATTTATGCATTCATTGGTTGATTCTTGTATGTGCCCTGACCAGAGATCAAATCGTGACCCTTGATTCATTGGTCAACATTCAGCCACTGAGACACAGCAGCTGGGGTTGTTTTGATTTTGAAGTGAGGTAGAGGGGTTTAATTTATGTGCATCTGATTGCCCAGCAGCCTAAGTATATCCTCAGGGACAGAACTGGTTGGGAAATTGACAAACCTTTAAAATATTTTACTCCAGGTCAAAGAGCTAGTAGAAGCAGAGTTATTTGCTCGTTATGATCGGCTTCTTCTCCAGTCTACCTTGGACCTGATGGCAGATGTGGTGTACTGCCCCCGGCCATGCTGCCAATTGCCTGTGATGCAGGAGCCTGGCTGTACCATGGGCATCTGCTCCAGCTGCAATTTTGCCTTCTGTACCTTATGCAGATTGACCTACCATGGCGTCTCTCCATGTAAGCTCACTGCAGGTAAGTTGTAACTGTGCACTCAATTCTCTCATCCCCTATCCCCCCACCAAAAAACCCCCAAAACTTATTACTTCAGCTTTCAATTAGGAAGTTTTTATTAAACAGAAACTTTTGTGTTTGATGCTGCCCTAGCTTCGGTGGATATATTAGTGATGAAATGCCTTCATGAAACTTAACATTTTAATGGAGAAGACAGGCAAACAACATATATAAAAATATCAGATGGTAGAAAGTGCTAAGGAGCAAAAAAAAAAATAATAATAAAACAGAGATAGGATATGAAATGTTCTGAAGGGAAAGGAGCTGGTGATTTTACTTTGGAAAGTCAGGGGAAGCCTCACTGGCCAAGTGGTTTGAGTAAAGACTTGGAGGAATTAAGGAAACAAGTTATGACATATCAGGGACAACAGTCCAGGGAAGGAACGGCAAGGTCATTTTTATCTGTGAATGTGAAATACTGTCTGTTCTGGCTGGCAGATGCATAGCTGTCACTCTTATTTCCATGGCACATATGTCTGATCAGTCATCAAGTGCTTTCTCATTGAGCTCAGGGAGGCCTCAGAATCTTCCTGAACACAGCACTTCAGAAAGCCATCCTCTATTGAAGTAGACACATGATGTGGAATCTGTGTGCCATTTCTGATCTAGATAAGGATTGAGAAGGCAGGTCCTTGACATAGATTTAAATGGACTCTGCTGGCTTAGTCTTTCTCAAACTAACAGGGATGATGATAATAGGTACTTCATACGGTTGTTGTAAGGAAGAAATTCTTTTGATTGTATTTTTCAAAAGTATTGGTCCTTGTTCAACTGGTGTGACTTAGTGGCTAAGCATCGACATATGAACCAGGAAGTCATGGTTTGATTACCGATTACCAGTCAGGGCACATACCCTGGGCTTGCAGGAGGCAATTGATCAATGATTCTCTCTCATCATCGATGTTTCTATCTCTTTCCCTCTCCCTTCCTATCTGAAATCAATAAAATACATTTAAAAAAAATAAAAGTATTGGTCCTTGACAGAGTAGGGAAGAAAAACTAGTCCTTCGACATAGATGATTTGAGAACAGTGGGCCAGTACATGTAAAAGGCAAAGTGGTGACTATTTTTGTTTGTTTGTTTATTTTTGGTGCCCTTGACTGGAATTCAATCCAATATACTTCAGTCCATAGGATGACGTTCTATCAACTGAGCCAAACCAGCTAGGGCAGAGTGGTAACTATTAATGCCGTTATTATTGTAGTTACCAGTTGGCACTGTTATTATTATTATCTCCAAGAAAGTACCCTGAGGAGAATGAGTAGGTACTGCCAGAACAGAGTCTTGTAGTGGGCCAGTAAATGGGTTGAAGAACTCACCACAGCATAATTATAAGCCATTTCTTAGATTTCTGTAACCTTAGCATTGAGAGGCTAAAGTGCATTTCACAGCATTTGAGGAAAGAATTAAAGTTAGACATAGGGGCTTCAGTAAAATTTGGCATCTGATTCTACTATATATATTTATAGATACTAGATTTTACCATATAAAATATATGAAATACTAGCATCTTTATTATTTTTGAGAACATTAGAGCAATAACTTTTGTCCTTAATAAGCCTAGGAACACAAAATAACAAACATTTTTGAGAGTCTTTACTTGATCCTGTTGAAAAATTAAGATAATAGGATTATGAACAAAAGCCTTTGATCAAGTAAAGACTTTGAGAATGGCTGCTTATTCATTTAAGTGATTAGAGATCAGATTAAAGAGTATTAAGGGGAAAGGTGTCAGGAGGAACTTTTTAGTAGCTGTGGGTGATAAATTTTATTCACTGACATTTTTTAATATTAAAGTCTTTGCCTTTTAGCCAAAAGGGCTTTTTTTATTTGGTAAACCTTGATATTATCAAATTAGAGGCCAGGTGCACAGATTTATGCACTGGTGAGTCCCTTGTCCAGCCGTCTGACATCCCCCGAAGGTCCCCAGGGTGCAAGAGGACACTCTGCAAAGTTTCTGTCGCTCAATAGCTCCTGCATTGAGTGGTCATAGCTACCAGCCTGTAGGCCAGTCAGCTTGTCGCTTAGGCTTTTATATATATATATATATATATATATATATATATACACACACACACACACATATATATATATGGTGAATGATGTTGAGTTAGTGGAAAATCTATCTTTTTCAACTTTTGCGTTTTTTAGATAAGTCAGTCCTTAACTGTACACTACTAGTTGTAAAACATATCAACATTAGTAAGTCAAAATCAAAGGAAAAAGATAACCTATTATTCTACCACCTTTAGCAAATCCAACTTTTCCAGTTGGATTCCTTTTTGTTCTTTGTTATTTGTGCATGTCTAACTTTACTTAGTCATAACCTAAATACCCCTTTTTCTGGATTCTGTAATGAGTATTTTAATTGAGCTGTAGCCATCCTAACTATAGTCTTTAATAACAATATCCTAGCTAATATGCAAATTAACCATCACTCCGTCACAAAATGCGACACCCAAAGCCACAAGATGGCGGCGGCACCCGGCCCTCTCAGTCCCACCAGAGTCCCCCTGTCCCTTGTGGGTGGCCACTGAGAGCAGGCAGCGTGAGCGGCCTGGCAGAATGCTTGCTTTGTCACTGTGGCAACGAGGCAAGCATTTCACGCCTGGCTGCGGATAGGCCTCTGGGCCTTGGAGAGCCTCTGGGCAGAGGGCATAGAGCAGCCAGGCCCCACAGAGAGCTATTGGTGCACGGATTCATGTGCAAGGCTACTACTAGTTATGTCATAAATGGCTCTTTCACACATAATTACTTCTTTGGACATTTAATTTGTTTGCCATTGTTATGTGTATTTCCATGCATATAACTTTACTTTGGATTATATCCTTATGATAAAGTCCCAGAGGTAGCATTATTGAGAAGTCAAAAGTTATAGCCATTTTAATAGTTTTTAATCAGCATTGCAAAGTTATATAAAAGTTAATTTTCCATTTCACTTTCTAGAAAAATTAATAGACTTACAAAATGAGTACCTGCAAGCAGATGAGGACAATAAAAGATTTCTGGAACAGAGGTATGGTAAGAGGGTGATTCAGAAGGCACTGGAAGAAATGGAAAGTAAAGAGTGGCTAGAAAAGAACTCAAAGAACTGCCCAAATTGTGGAACTCCCATAGAGGTAAACAGACTTTCAGGCATGTTACGATCGTCTCAAGAAGCCTATTTATTTTATGACTGACTAAGAAAACACATTTTTGTATTTATTAAACCCTCTTACTTGGAAATTGTAAATTCACAACTTAATATTGTCATTGATTTTAAATGTATGTCGATGTCCCTTTTCAAAGTGCTTTTATACAGTGATAATTGTTCTCACACTATATCCTCCCCCTAAAAATGAATGGGTTATGAGGAGGCCATACTAGAGCCACAGTCATCTCTTAACTCATCTGTGTGATTTTTAAAAAGTCAAGCCTGACTTCTTCTCAGAACTTTTTATCCTAGAATTGAACACACCTGTTTAACAAGTATATGCTCAAGAAATGGGGACATTTTCCCATGAGTCTGAGCCATTGCTTCTTGACAAAAATCTTAATATGTTTTAAAATAGAAATATATCTTTGTATTTGATTCTACTGTTTCAATCCATTACAGTAATCCTCTCATATCTGTGGAGGATATGTCTCAAGACTCCAATAGATGCCTGAGGATGATACTAAACCCTATATGAACTATGTATTTTTCCAAAACATACATACATACCAATGATGAAGTTTAATTTATAAATTAAGCACAGTAAGAGATTAACAACAACTAATAAAATGGAATGATTATAATATACTATAATAAAAGTTATTTGAATGTGATATTTTTCTATCAAAAAATATTACTGTACTGTGTTCACTCTTGAGATGATGTGCAGTGATGCAAAATGAGGTGCATAATATAGGATTGTGACATAGTGTTAGGCTATGGTTACTTGAATATGAATGCTGCGATATGGAAACAGGCTAATGGGAAGGAAAGTTTCATGCCCTGGTTGAGATGGCACAAGATTTCATCTCTACTCAGAATGGTATACAATGTAAAACATATGAATTGTTTCTTTCTGAAGTTTTCCTTATAATACAGGGTGGAGCAAAAGTAGGTTTACAGTTGTTTATATGGAAAATACAATAATTAATGAATAATATAAGATAAACTGTTTTGCATACAACTGTAAACCTACTTTTGCCCCACCCTGTATTTTTGGATCATGGATTGAGCATGGGTAGCAAAACTGCAGATAAGGGGGTATTGCTGTCTATCTGAACTGAACCTGGTGGTCATTCCCTAATACTCCATTAAGGAAATTGACATTCTATTTAACCAATTTAACTACTACGGAGGTCTCAGTTCTATGATAAAGTGGAGGACTTGATACCAAATTTTTTTTAGATTTATGTAAAAAGTTTAAAATCACATATATTAAGTCCAAACATTTTAATTAATCTAACTACATTTTCCCTGTACAATAACATTTGGTTTGTATCTGGAGTTTATCAGAAGAAAACTTGTGTAAGTATCTAATTGTAGGAAAGCCTGCTAAATATTTCTTATTTCACTTGTAATGCAAAAGAGTTGGCATTAACTAGTTATCAATGTGTTAGATACCATAGTATTCAGCTCTGTATGCGGAAAGGGACTAGGAGAAGGTTTTACTGAATCTTTTTTGGCATGTGCATTTCTCTTTTGCTTTTACAGCCTTGATATTTTTCCCTTTCTGTCTTTCCCACCAGAAATTAGATGGATGTAACAAGATGACATGTACTGGTTGTATGCAATATTTCTGTTGGATTTGCATGGGTTCTCTCTCTAGAGCAAACCCTTATAAACATTTCACTGATCCTGCTTCCCTGTGTTTTAACCGGTATGTATTCTCACAATTCCCTAGGCTCAGCAGCAGTTTCTGGCCCTTGATTTGCAGACCACAGATCCAGTGTTTGACTTAGTTCTTCGCTTATTAAAGAATTCTCTTACACACTTTTCACATATATGAATTTTTATATTGTTTTCTTAAAAATGAGGTTTATAATGAAAATATGCTTCCTGGGAATTTTTTTCTTTTTTTGTCCTCAACTTTTTATAATGAAAATTTTCAAATAGAAAAGTTGAAAGGATAAGATTGAATAGTTGGATAACATCCACCAAAATTAATAATTGATAGTGTTTTGCCATATTCTTCTTTAAAAATATGTTTTTATTGGTTTTTAGAGAGAGGAAGGGAGAGAGAAATTTAGATGTGAGAGTGAAACATCTATTGGCTGCCTCCTGTATACCCCCTTCTAGGGATGGAGCTAGAAACATGGGAATTCCCCTGACTGGGAATTGAATTGATGACCTTTTTCTTGGATTGATGCTCAACCACTGGACCGCACTGGCTGGACCTGTTTTCTCTTGTTTTTCAATTTAAATTTTTTAATGTTTCTTCTCCAACTATTTTGCTGAAGTACTTAAGTTGGAGATATGATGCTTCATCTCTAAATGCTTCTATGTGTATGGCCTAAGAAAATTTTTCTACGTTAACAATACTTTAAAAAAATTAATGAGACCTGGATGGTGTGGCTCAGTTGGTTGGGTGTCATCCCCTGCACTGAAAGATTGCTGGTTCAATTTCCAGTTGGGGCACATGCTCAGGTTGTAGGCTTGATCCCCAGTATGGAGCATGGAAGTTTCATTCTCACATCAATGTTTCTCTCCCTCTCCCTTCTTCTCTCTCAAAAAAATAAACTAAAAGTCTCAAACAAATTAATGACAGTGGCATATTATCAGCTAATAAACTTATTAAAAACCTTCCAGTTATTCCTAAAAATACCTTTTAAAGTTGTTTTTATTGAAACAAATTCAGTCATTTTATTTGGTTCTGTCTCTTAAGTCTCTTTTTTTAAAAATATTTTTTTTTTATTTCAGAGAGGAAGAGGGAGAGGTAACATCAGGGTAGGAAGTCAAATTGGTAACTATAAAACATACTGAAAATAGAGAATGCATAAGCCATGAAGATAGAGAGAATGGAGTGATTAGCATGTAATATAATAGTTATAGTGTCTCAAAAAAGTTCAACTTGTAGGTTGCTTGATTCCCTAATCGTGGCTTATTCCACATATTGTGTGCATTGAGTATCAGTTTTGTGATACCCATCTTCTATTATTTATCCTTGGCCCTAGAGAGTTTGTCTGGATCCTAAAAGGGCTATTCTAATAAGCTTTAAGGCAGCTGTTCAGAGGGACCCATATTTTAGCCCTCAGTGGAAGATGTTATCTGAAGAGTACAGAAAATATTTTTGAGACAAGGAGATAAATTATAGTTTCTTCCAAGCTTTCAACATTGTACTTTATTATATGCTTCCAGGTTGTTCTATGCTGTGGATGTTGATGAAGATATTTGGGAAGATGAGATTGAAGAAGACTAGTTCATTCCTACTGCTCCAGACGCAGCAGTGAAATGGTTTGCCCTATATTTTGCTGAGAATACAAAGTAACTTTGCAGGATATTTAGGGTTACCATTCATTCATTCTTCTAACGTAGAAGATGAGAACAAGGTTTACATTTTCATGTGGCACTACTGACTAAGGCACAGTCATACATTTTTCAGTGTAACATAATTGAGAGAATTACAAGCCAAAGGTTCATAAAATGAAAACTAAGGCATATTAAATATTACTGTATTCCCAAAACTCTGAATAGTTACAAATTTAAATATTTATTTTCTTCCCCAAGCTTTAGGTAAGGAGAAGGGATCAACAGTTCAACTTATAGACCTTTTTATCTCTGAGAAGCATCCCTTTAAACTTCTGTGGGAGTCTCCTTACGGCTGGGGTGGTTAGAAGCCTTATTAAAATTGAACCAAGAGCCTGATCTTACTCCATGTTACATTCCTTCCAACCTAAATTTTTGCTAAGTTCTTTTTGGAGGGAGCCCTTTATAGCTGATTGGATGGCCCAGTGCCATTTTGGTCTACTGCTTTTCAGAATAGAAATTTATAATTTAAAAAAATATTCTATAATACCACAAATAATGTGGGTCACCTGATACTGCTTTTCCGAATAGAAATTTATAATTTAAAAAATATTCTATACCACAGATAATGTGGGTCACCTGATACTGCTTTTAAGAATAGAAATTTATCATTTAAAAAATATTCTTTAATACCACAAACAGTGTGGATCACAGATATACCAGGTGATATATTGTTCACTGATCTTGAGCTAAGACTGTTATTTAATGCCACTGGCTCAGAGGAATTTCAGTGCTGTTCAGCTTTCCTGAGCAGTAGAGCCTAGATTCAAAACAACTTGTCTTTGCCACCTGTCATTCTACATTCTCTTTTACCCTCACCCAGCCTTCTGTTGGTAAGGACAATTTTAATATCAACTCCATCAGCTCCTATTTTTATTTCTATTACTGGAATAAGAGAAAGCCTAATATATTCATTCCCAAGCGGAACAAGTTGAGCTTCCAATTTCGTGCTTTTTGAACTCCACACTACTGTAGTCAGTCCTGACTTTCTAAATTCTTTTTATAGGTCTTCTGTAATGTGCTTTGGGATTTTGGTTTCCCACCTATTTTTTGCAACAGCACTGTTTTGGAGGATAATTTTGGCTTGCCTAGATCCCTATTTCAGGGTTTTGTTGGCTTTTTGAAAAATTGTCTTTCCTTTTTGGTTTGGTGAGTGGTTTGGTCACAAAATAAGATTTTTTTGAAAAAGGTCAGCTGCAGCTATGAAAATGTTCTTTTTTCTTACCTTGTCACTGAAAATTGGGGAATCATTTTTAACCATTTTATGTGTGTGTAGCCAAAGAGTCAGCAGTGACTATTTCTGGATTGTCAATGAGGATGCTTAATCTTAAAAATAAAAATAATTTAAAATTGTCTTATAATTAGAACAGAGTTGCTGATAAGTGTTCTGTTCCAAAGTTTGTAAACTTTTATTTTTGAGGCATGAGTTATGAGCTATCTTTAAGATGGTGAAGTTTTAGGTAGAGTACTTTTGTCTCTGATGTAATGAAAATTGGGGTAACCCCCTGAATGTCCTAGAAATAATTACCTTGTTAAAGATTGGTATATCAGGAAAGTACATGAACAAAGTATGGTACATAAATTAATTTCATGAAGGCCATTTTTACAAGTGGACAGAGATTTACCATAAATTGACATGAACCTCGTGAGTCCTTTTGGTGAGAGTAAGAGAGCAGAGGATCCCTTTGCAGACTGTTAGTTCATCCTGCCCAAAACTCGTTTGAAGAAGCCATATCTCTTGATTTTATGTAAAAGGTTTGGGTGTAGAACTGATAAATGAAAATAAGTTACTAAATGACTTTTTAAGTCAAAATAGAGGTTTTGTGACATTTTAAGCCTGTGATTGAACAAAATTTAAGAGCCTGCCTTTGTCAGTTGAGATGCATCTTGTTCCACTTATTTTTTAAGTAATGTTTTTAACTTAAAATAAATATACTTTAAATACACATCCCTTCCTGTTGAGAAGAATGATAAAGACTTGGTGGCCACATTCCCAGACCTATAGCATTAGCAGCAAGGTCATTTTTTAGTTATAGAGGGTTCTATTTAGATTAGACATTAATATACTTACATTTTTGTTATTGTTAAAAGAATTAGAGTTAATCAGATATGGTAATCATAAAGCCATTCATGTGTCTACCTGCTTTTGAAGGAAATTTTAAAATTTTGGCAGGAATTTTGGAAATCCCACTAAGTAGTAATTTTGCCATAAGCATCACCAGCAGGTGGCAGCAGTTGCCATGTTATAAAAGTTCAGTAAATGGATAAGACTAGTAGCATTTTATGTCTGATATTTTAATTTTCCTCATTGTGTTTCATTATAGTCTGCTATACACATTGATGAGTAGAATGACATCCTAGATAATAAAACCCTAATATGCAAATTGATTGAACAGAGGAACAACTGGTTTGCTATTATGTGCACTGACCATCAGGGGGCAGACGCTCAATGCAGGAACTGCCCCCTGATGGTCAGTGTGCTCCCACAGGGAGAGTGTGCTCAGCCAGAAGCTGGGCTCACAACTGGTGAGTACAGTGGCGGTGGCGGTAGTGCTAAGGAGTAGCTAGCCAAGCAGTAAGGAGTAGGGAGCAGGCAGGCAGTAAGGAGCAAGGGATCCCAGACCGCGAGAGGGATCCCAGACTGTGAGAGGGTGCAGGCCAGGTTGAAGGGACCCCCTCCCCCTGAATGAATTTCATGCACCAGGCCTATAATCTAATAATAGCAGCAAGGCAAGAACAGAAGTATTACCAAATACTGTAAGGCCACTTAAAACTGTATTTGAACCAGTTGACATCCATTTGTTATACAGGACGGTAGCATTCTTGATAGTAGTACTTGTCTGCAGCCACTAAAGAAAATAACTTATAACAATGAGTATAAGTTATAATTGCAGCTCCTAAGGAGGATGGAGAAATTGTGACATTGTGGGACCCTCTGGTAAGAGTATCCAAATAGTCACTTCCTTGAACTTTGGGCTCAATAAAAATGTCAGCTAGCATCCCAGTCTGAGGCTTTTGAGTCAGAAAAATGGCTTTGGTGACATTTTTAACAAATGTTTTATGATTTTCAGCTTTCAGCACCCAGTCTAGTCTTGCACAATTCCAAGGATTCCCGTATTTCTCTGAGCCAGAGGATGCTCAGGATTCTGTCACTTCTCCTTGGAAACTGATGCATCTCGTCATAGTAAGGAACGAGGCATCAAATTTTTGTCTTCAATAGACCAGTTTGCTAATCCATTATCAAATAGTATGCTGTTATTTCCCCTGGTTATTGTATATGATAACTACTCTTGGGGGTAACTGTCAGGCTTACAACAAAGAATGGGTGTTTTCTAGAAATCAAGGTATTGATAGGGACAGGATAGAGCAGTATTTAGAGTCTGCTTTCATGAAGCTACTTAGTGGGAAACAGAATCATGCCAGGTGGCAGAGGTTGAGAAATAGAGCAGTGGGGGAGAGGGAGTTGGGATTGCCATTTATGTTGGAGGGCCAAGGAAGGTTCTCTTTGATAAATGACATTTGAGCAGAGATCTGAGGAAGTAAAGGGGGAAGCCATTCTGGAGGGGAATAGTGGGCCAGGCTCTTATATCCATTTCCACTTTGTAAATTGACAAATTTAATAGAAGAGGTGACACATTTGTGTCAACATGCTGCCATTTGAAACACATTCTATCCACTCTTCCTGAAATATAGCTTTCCATGTATATTTAATCTTTTTCCTTTTTGAGTATCAGACTTGGGGTTTCATACTCTCCTTTTTTTTTTTTTTTTTTTCCTTCTTGAATATATTTTATTGATTTTTTTACAGAGAGGAAGAGAGAGGGATAGAGAGAAACATTGATGAGAAAGAATCATTGATCAGCTGCCTCTTGCACACCCCCTACTGGGGATGTGCCCGCAACCAAGGTACATGCCCTTGACCAGAATCGAACCTGGGACCTTTCAATCTGCAGGCTGACGCTCTATCCACTGAGCCAAACCGGTTTGGCTCGACTTTTTCTACTTAGCAATATTAAATATTCATTGATCGAACTGTCACAACTTGGCCATTGGAAGGCCCATTTAACAGGTTGCTTTGACCTCTCAACACTGCTTCATTTTTTATTTATTTAAATAGGTTGTTACTCATTTTACAGAGGGTAAAGAAGAGGGATGGAAAGATAGAAACACATATGAGAAACACTGATCAGCTGCCTGCAACCTGGGCATGTTCCCTGACCCAAATCTTGGTTCATAGGTGCATGCTCAATCACTGAGCCATCCTGGGGGGGCTACTGCCTCATTTTTTTTTTTTTAAAGGACCTTTGTTTTTATTGATTTAAGAGAGGAAGGGAGAGAGAGACATCAATAATGAGGGAGTCATTGATTTGCTGCCTCCTGTACACTCCCCACCGGGGATTCAAACCTGTAATCTGGGCATGTGCCCTGACTGGGAATCCAACTGTGATCTCCTGGTTCATAGGTCACTGCTCAACCACTGAGCCACGCCTGTCGGGCAAGACAGATCTTTTTAAGGTCCTGGCTCACACATCCATCACCAGTTTGGCTGTCATCACTAAATCCTTTTTCACTTAATTCTAGTATATTTTTTCTATAACACCTTCTTAAAAATTAATTCCACCCAGCACGTAAACTATATGCCAGTATAACTGATACTTGTACTTCAATTATATTGACCTCAGCTATGCCATTATATTGATTTTTAACTTTAAAAACAAACAAAAAAGTAACCCTACTTTCCATACCATGCAGCTTTTATTTTTATATCCCTCCTGGGCACAGATCTGCCTTATTTTTTTTAACAGCTCTATCCTTGTTTCGGTCATAAGCACAGTTAGAACATGAACAGTTTACTGCTCAACTTTTCATTCCTACCATTTTTCACACAGGCTTTTCACCCCACTTTTATGACACTCCGCCAGTAAGTGAAAAAGATGTACAGTTGCTGATTGTGACTTCCTGCAGAGAGGCTGTGAGAGTGAGTGTAAAGCTTTGTTCACCAGCTATTCCCAAAATATATATGAGCCCAGATCATCGTCTAACCTTTGGGGGGATGGGAGGATGGAAGTCCATAAATGACAAATTTGAAAACATTGGATTTAATAGAAAATATCACATTGTAAAGCCCATTGATCTGTCAGCTTAACATAGAATGACAGCACAATCACACATGAAAAGTCAAAATGCTGGAACCAAACAGCACTTAGAGGCTTGAGCTGGCTCTGAAAGATCTTCATGAGAAACAGGCGGCAGCAGCTTGAAACAGGCACAAAGGTAGGGGGAGGAGGATTAAGAGGGTAAAAGGAAGACAGCAATATTTGCCTTGTGAGCAGGGGTAAAGGATAAAGGGACAAAAGGGTTCCATTTCCTGGTGTTCTAGAAACATCAGAGCACGCAACATGAACCCGAGAGGTGGGGAAAGGCAACCTTAGAAACATTGGGATAGTCTTGGCACTCAGCTCCTCGGGAAGCAAGCAAGCAGGTCACTCGCGTTGTGACTAAACTCATCACTGAGCTGCTTGCCCAGCCCCTAGCACCTTGGCTACACACATTGAAACCGTGCCAGTGTCTGTTGCCCCAATGGACCTGCTTATTAATGAGTATGTAAAAGGAGTGCCACAGGGAGGCCTTGGAACAAAACACAGGCTCTGGTGGGAAAAGGGTTTATGCCTCTCACCTTCCTCAGGTGTGGAAGGGACCCTGAGGGAGAGGAGTTTGACGTTGCTGAGCTCTCAAGGCTCCGAGCTCATCAGCAAAGCCTTCTCTTCCCTCCAAAATCCTCCCCGAAGGAGTCCTCAGGGTTCATGGAAAGGCCAACTGAGGGAGAGAAACCGAGGAAAGAAAGGGGCAGTTTTCTTTCCATGGCACTTGTTACTGACCAGAGGACTGCCTCCTTATGCTGACCTTAGACACTGAGAGTCTGTCCCTTTACCTGGGGCAGTGATTCTCAAATAAGGGGCAGGCCTATCCGAGGGGCTTGAAGCCTCCAAAGAGCGTTTGTCTAATACAGTAAGCCTCTGTTCCCCCAGCCGAGAACCTGCACGTGAGAGAGATTCCCAACAGGAGTGTGTTGTACATGTGAACAGGGTCAGGCAGAACACAAAGCCGAAACCCCCTAATCTGTGTAGAACAGACATCAAAATATGGAGTGATTTTTTTTCTGATTGATAAGTTACAGACAAATCATTTCTCCCATAGCTAACCTCTGCAAATAGGCTCCACACTGCAGAGCCAAGTATAGTTAAATTAACTCATTTATCCAGAGTAATTGTACTGGATAAAAAGAAAACAATTCTGTCCTTAAGAGAATTTCCAGAAATTCCTGCCTGTCCCAGTGAGGTACTTGGCACTAGGATTAGCACAGATCAATCACTGTATGGTTTCTTAGAAGACTGGCTTTTCTCTGTCTCTTTCTCTTTGATACTGTACAAGGGGTCCACCAGCTTGTTATGAACAAGCATTAAACCTACAAAAAAAATTAAAAAACAAAGTAGTTAATGGAGGTAGAGGCAGAGTTCCACAACTGTCAACAAGAATACAGGAGCTCCCAAATTCTGTCCTAGAACTGATATCAACTCATGCTTCCTGTGTGGCTCCACATGATAACCATACTAAGCATAGGAAAGAAATTGTTATTCCCAATAAATGCTGGAATCCACAGGACTTTTGTAAACCCAATCTCCAGGAGTTAGCCATTAAAATAATCTTTTCAGCAAGAAACAAATTCCTAATTTGCTCAGTAAAAGGATTTTTATACAAGTTTGCTTAAAGCAGTGTGTCCTTTTAAAGTAAAAGAACAAGAGCCTCAGGACAGCTCAGTGCCTTTTCTACAGGGAAAGGCCTGTGAGAGCAAGGAAGACAGCCTGAGGCTCCACAGTCCTGCAGAGATCATCACACAGCCCTGGACAATTTTTCATGCTCTCCTCCTCCTCTGAGCAAGCCAGTCTCCAGAAACGGACCCTCAGTTGTGAGAGAGAAATGACTGTGTATTCTTTTGATGTTTATTAAAATCAGAGTTGGTTAAAATGTCCAGAGCATGAGAGCTAGGTCCACTCCCCCCTCCTGGCATATCCTGAACTTGGCCACCTACTCCCAAGCCTGCCCCTCTCTCACCTTTGAAATACTTCACGGTCTTCACTTTCAGCTCCAGGGTGGCATCCTCGTCGCACACAAACACGGTGCGGGGATGCTGCTGGAAGGCAGACACAGTCCACATGTGGTTCACTCCCTCCTCAATGGCTTTGTACAGAGCAAACGCCTTGTGAGCACCTGTGATGAGGATCATCACCTGGGGATCAGAGAACAAGCCCATGACAGGAGGAGCAGCAAAACCGGAAGTCCAGGCACTTTGAACTCTAGTGTGGCCATCCCAAACAGCTATAAGGAATACCGTTCTAAATACCATCGTAAGTCTTAACCTTGCAGCTCCAGGCTCCCCCTACGCTATCATCACACAAGTTGCCTGAGTAGGGAGCATCGTTATTCCTTGTCCTATAAGGAAATGGGCCAAGGTTGGGGCCAGGGTTAAGTGACTTGCCCCAGGTCATTTCTGACCCTAAGTGCATGTTCTTGACACTCCATAGTGCCTCCTGGCCCCTTTGATGGTGGCTGCAAGTGCCCTGTGAACAGACGTGCCCTACAAAGGCCCACTCTTACCCCAACAGTTGTGACACTGGTTCTAGGAGGTCCTAGGCTAGTGAGTTTTCACATCACAAAAAGGTGAGTCCCACCCAGCCCCTCAGGGAACCTTGGAAGCAGTGCTGAGAGTCATCCCAGCAAGGCTGCCACTTAATCTAGTCACTTTCAGTTCTGAGTATTAGACTGACTAATGTGACTTGGGTAATGCTTTTTGTTTAAATGAAACAAAGGCCAAGACTCCTTTCAACAGCTGAAATACCAAGAAAGCAAGTAGTGGACAGTGATCATAAAGAACTCAGCTCTATAGATATCCTTTGTAATTCACTTGCACCATGGAATTGTGAACAGGGCTTACTGTTCCCTTTCTTTTTACTTTTTAAATGTGTTCTTATTGATTTTAGAGAGAAAAAGAAGGGAAAGAGAGAAATATGGATATGAGAGAGAAACATTGATCAGTTGCCTCCCGGGGACTGAACCCAAATCGTGGGCATGTTCCCTGATCAGGAATAGAACCAGCAACCTTTTGGTACAGAGGATAATGCTCAACCAACTAAGCTACGCCAGCCAGAGCTACTATTCCTTAAAAGGTGAGGAAACAAAAGAGAGCACAGAAAAATATGGCTCTTTGTTCAGGATTCCAGATCTAATTTTAGAAGAGAGAATTTCCTGATATCCAGCCCAGGCTCTTTCTCCATTAGCATTCACTGACACAGGGCAGTTTGCAAGCCACAAGGCCAAGAACAGCAGAGTGACCCTGGGTGCCGACGTGAAGTGCCCAAAAGAAGCCTGGCGCCATTGCACTTTCACAAGCGTTCACTTGAGACTTAGATGTGTGTTTACAGACCTAGGCAAAGAAGCTTAAAGTTAAAATGTCTGGTTGCTTCCCACTAAATACAACCCAGGAAGAAAAAAGCTCCCAAAATTCTAATGAAAGACAGTAGGAAATTAGAACCACACAAAAAATTCAAATGTTACCCAACTTTCTAGGGAAAAAAAGTACTAAATTCAGTTTAGGACACTTATATTTCCCACTCAGGGCCACACTAGTAACTACCAACACCCTGGAGCTATAGGAGCTCCCTTCAAACAGTGGCCCCCATCTGCAGGGAAGCAGAGGTCCATCTTGGTACCTGGGCAGGTGCAGACTCACACTCAGACACCAGCACTGCTGGGCTCCTGCCTGAGCAGCTTGAAAGGGTTATATGCCCAGGCCAGGGAGCCTGCGGTCTCCTGGGCAGTCCTCACACTGAATAATGGTTCCCTCCAAAGAGGAAGGAGGAACACCAACAAGGTCGGCTGTGATTTTATCCTCATAATGTCTTCATTTTTAATACAAATGTACTTAGGTAGTACCTGTAGAGTTAAATTTCTTTAACAAAAAAGACCAGTCCAATCCCCAGTGAAGGCCTATGGACCCCTTGCACCCTTACCTCTCTGGCATCCATGACAGTGCCCACACCCACTGTCAGGGCCATGGTGGGCACCTTGGCGAGATCTCCATCAAAGAACCTGGCATTGGCCAAGATGGTGTCCATGGCCAGCGTCTTCACCCGGGTCCTGGATACCAGACTGGAGCCCGGCTCATTGAAGGCAATGTGTCCGTCAGGGCCAATGCCTGTCCAGGAGAGAGTCAGGGCAGCCCTATCAGTGCCAGGGGCCTCAGACTGCAAGTTGCAAGTCCTCTCCTTCCCCCTTTGGGGTCTACAAAACTTGAAAACCATGTCTCTTGCCGAAACCAGTCTGGCTCAATGGATAGAGCGTCGGCTTGGGGACTGAAAGGTCCCGGGTTTGATTCCGGTCAAGGGCATGTACCTTGGTTGCGGGCACATCCCCAGTAGGGGGTGTGCAAGAGGCAGCTGACTCATCGATGTTTCTAACTATCTCCCTTCATCTCTGTATAAAATCAATAAAATATATTTAAAAAGAAAAAGAAAACCATGTCTTTCTTCTCCTGGGCAGGTACACTAAGCATGTGATCTTTCCCTCTCCACCTCCCACCCTGTTCTTCCTAGGGCACACACAGCCATTGTTAACTTGCTACCATCCTCCAAAGCTAGGTAAAGGGGACTCCAAATAGCTTCCTCCTCCCTAGAAGTTCATCCTCTCTTTCTCTCCTGCTAATAGTCAGGGATCCTGCTACCAGGGTAGTCACAGTGAATAAAACACAGGGCCTGGAAACTTCATACCACCTCAGAATACGAGCACTCCTGGCTTCTTTCTCCCCATCCTCCTTCCTATATAATAAAAGGCTAATTGCAAATCAACCAAACAGCGGAATGACCGGTCACTATGACATGCACTGACCACCAGGGGCAAACACTCAATGCAGGAGCTGCCTCCTGGCGGTCAGTACGCTCTCACAGGGGGAGTACTGTTTAACCAGAAGCCCTGAGCTGGGCTCACAGCTGGCTGGCTGGCTGGCTGGCTGGTGAAGCCATGGTGGCAGGAGCCTCTCCCGCCTCCAAGGCAGTGCTAAGGATGTCCCACGGCTGGCTTAGGCCCACTCCCCTAACCTGTCAGTTGGACATCCCCCAAGGGCTCCTGGACTGGAGAGGGTGCAGGCCGGGCTGAGGACCCCTCTCCCCCAAGTGCACGAATGTTGTGCACTGGGCCTCTAGTCTTGAATAAAGTTAAATCCAAAGCAGTGAAAGGCAGTCCAACTTCACACCCCTGTGGGTGACTCCAGAGCTGGCAACACATGGAAATGTAAGAGGGCAGCCCAAGGTAAGAAAGGGGCACAAATCTGAGACGGGGACACCTTAGGTGTGCCTGCATTGTCTCCACCACTCTGGCCAGCTAACCTTGGGCAAATCACAAAACTTCTCTGGAGTTCACTTGGCCATTTACAGCGTGTAGGAGCTGAGTGAGTAGTCTTCTGGGACTACATGTGATTTTACCTGTTTAGATAAGTCCCATGACTGAGCTATAAAACTTTAAGATTGGGAAACAAAATCTCTGAGCCCAAATTCAAACCCTCAATCTACAGACAAGGCACTAAAGTGCAGAAAGAGGAGCTATCCAGTGTCACAGCTGCTGAGCAGCAGGACCAGGGCAGGGAGCTAGGGTCCCGCTCTGCCTTCCCTGCGTCCTCAGAGTAACGAGTGGCTCCTGCAGTCACCAGCACAGAGAAGCAGCTGTCTGAGGCAGCATGTGTCTAACCACCCTGGGTCTGGCCTAGACACCTGTGCACTGTCCGGCTCACCTCCAACGAACAGCTCAATCCCGCCTGCAGCCTGGATCTTCTCCTCAAAGGCGTCACACTCGGCCTGCAGGTCAGCCGCGTTCCCATCCAGAATGTGGGTGTTCGCCGGGTGGATGTCGATGTGCTTGAAGAAGTTGTTCCACATAAAGGAGTGGTAACTCTCTGGGTGCTCTCGAGGAAGACCTGTGGGGCCGTGGCCACACTCAGTCATGCCCAGGCGGAGCCAGGATATCCCCAGACCCCCAGGAGATGCTCTCCAGGAAATGCCAGCCTCAGAACTCTGGGCACCAGCCCTCCGACCCTCACTCCCTCAGGATAAGCTGAACTGATGTCCCTAACTGTACCCACCACCACCTATGACTACAGGATTGGGCCAAAGTAGCTCAGCTACACCCCAGAGGCCTGAGGAATCTCCTCATTTTGATCTCCTTTTCACAGGAGAATTAACGCTTAGTTGGGAGGCCAGAGTTAATCTTGGTTTCTGGAGGTGGCTTAGGTACCTTGGGGTAAAAGTATGCCTATCTAGGAAAGGAAGCATGCACGCCCCTCACCCTGTGCCTCCAAACCCCACCATTCAAACTCGTTATACCCGGCTCAGCCTGAACCCCAACTTGAATACCAGGTGGTTAGAGAGAATTATGTCAGGGCTTCCCAAAAGGTTTTTTTCAGTCAAGAAGAAAAGGCATGCTTAAAGTGAATATTTAATGCTTAATGTTAAACATCAAGAATGTTCACAGCCTTAAAAAGGAAGGAAATTCTGACACATGCCACATGATGAACCTCAACAACACGATGTTAAATGAAATAAGCCAGTCATAAAAAGTCAAAATATTGTGTGATTCGTTCTATGAGGTACCTAGAGTAGTCAAATTCATAGGAAGTAAAATGGTGATTGCCAGGGGCTGCAGGAGTGGGAAATGGGGAGCTGGTGTTTAATGGGTATAGTTTCAGTTTTGCAAAATGAAGAGTTGTGGAGATTGGTTATACAATAAGACTGTGCTTAACACTACTGAAAGCACATAAAAATGGTAAGATGGTACATTTTATGTTATGTGTACTTTGCTACAATTTTAAAGTGTTTAAAGTGAAACCATTACAAAATTATAGGGGGGATGGTCGGACATGGAAGGTGACAGAGACCATGGTGGTGTAGCTATTCAGTGGCGGAAAAGACACCAGGCTCATCTCCCCTCCCGTAAACCTGGCAGCAAGTGGAGCTAGAGGATGAACACTGGAGAGAAAGTCCAGACAGAGACGGGGACCCCCCCAGCCGTGTCCCATTTTCAAACATTTGTTCTAAAAAGAAAGGGCATGGAGTTGGGGAGGAGGCAAAGGAGAAAATACTAGAATATTTACTAAGTGCTGGTTCTAAATAAGAGGCTTCCACATGTGTGATATCATTTAATGCTTACAACCTGTGAGGTCAGTTTTATTGGCCCCATTTTACAGCTGAGTATACCAAGGCCTGGAAGAGACAGGTATCAGATGTCAGAGGTTTCCTGGCACTCTGAGTTCCTCTCCAGCCTGCGAGGGGGAGGAGTTCGGACTCTCCTGGAATCAGATAAGGACCGGAAGGGAAAGACTCACCCACATACTCGTCCATGTTGAAGGTCTTCACATACTTGAAGGACAGGTCTCCATTCTTATAATACTCAATTAGCTTCTTGTAGCAGCCAAGTGGGGTGCTCCCTGCAAGAGAGGGCACAGCCGTAAATGCCCTTCAGCCCCCACCCCCTCCTCCCCTGGAAGCCTAGTGGGCACCTGGGAATGAATCAGGGCTGCTTCATACAAGTCAGATCTGAAGTCTTCTCCAAATGTTGCATGTCATGCTTGTTTACTGCTTACTTCCCCACTAGACTGTAAGCCCCAGAGGGGCAGAGCTGTGTCTGTTTTGTCCATTGCTAAATCCCCAGCGTGCAACACGCTGATGATTGAAATGACTGCGATTAGTACTTGAATGGACATCAGACTTAATTACTAACATGACATTCTCTGAGCAACTACTCTGTGTGAGGCATAGAGGTTCCTGAAGGGGAGGCAGAGAAGCGAGAGATACAGCAACCACCCTGGGAGAGCTATCTCAGAGTGGGGACCAGAAGCAGTAATTGCAGCTGTGACCGGGGTAAGCACAGGCCAGCCTGAGGGCTCAGAGAAGACCTCCCTGTGGAGCAGCAAACTCCCAGGTTGAGTCTTATTAAAGAACGAGACATAAAAAAAAGACAGGAGGACCGCTTCTGAAAGAATCAGGATATTTGCTTGGAGGAGCTGGGATCAAAATATCTTCCTATAAAGGCAACGTTCTGATTTTTCCCCAAAGAGACGGGCTGGATGGTGGGACTAGATAGTAGTACTCCAGATGCACAGAAAAGAAATTCACTCATTACATAAAACATATGCCTTAAGGCACTGGGATTTAATCCTTCGAAGGAACCCATGGCTGACAGGGCTGACTTAGGATGTAGCCAAAAATCAAGTTCTTCCTGCTCCAGGAGTCTTCGGGAGCTGGCAGCAACCCAACCACCTACAAAGGAAGCTGGGTCCTCTATTTTGTGTGTCCAGGAGGCAGGGGAGTTGTTCACTCAGCACCGGTCCCTCAGAGCCCTGGCTCCCTAAAATCCCCTAATACCTACTCTCCTCCCACTGAGCAATCCACGGCCCCCACTCCATCACATAACGCACCGGTGGGGAGCCCCAAGGTGAAGTACTTGTCTGGTCCTGGGTTGAACTGGATGATGCGGTTCCTGATGTATTTGGCGGCCCACTCACTGGCCTGAGAATAGTGATCCAGGATGATGAGCTTCATCTTGTTCTGCAGCAGCGGGTGAGGAAAGGACTCAATTATAAGGAGCGGGGAGAAAGGGATGCAGGTGTTTGGCTTAGAGAAGCTCCTCTCACTCATCAACACCTGGTTTCTTCCCCCCCTCCTCCCCTATCTGAGCCAGGAAGAGGAAGGCACATCCAGTTCACAGAACTGACAGCTGGGCCCAGTGCCGCCACCACCCACCAGGTGGCGCCGCTGAGTTCTAAGCTCATTACTTCCTTTACCAGGGCCTCGGCCTAAGGACCCGAATTCTCTGAGCCTGTTTTCTCTGATGTGAAAACGGGAACGTAAGTACCAATTTCACCACGGTGAGTGCTCAATAAGAGAATGCATGTAACCACAGTACTCAACGTCTTGACCCATCCCTCCACCCCACCCCCACCCCCCTGGGTATCTCCGCCCACAGGCTCCTCATTAACTGCGGGGCCCAACGGCTCCTCCGGGGTCGCAGGGCAGGGGTGGGGGGTGGACTCTGCTGGAGAGAGGTGTTCGGTCCCACCCGCCGGCCCTCCTGTGGGTCTCCAGTGTCCGCCAAAGCACACGGGGAGGCGGTCGTTCCAGGAGGCATCTGCTCCCCCGCACAGCACCCCCAGTGGGAAGGCCCAGGCGGAAGTGGCCGCTCCGGCCTCGGTGGGTCCAGGAGTGTCCCCCGCCCCCGCCCCAAGGCGATCCCACTGCCCTCCGGCCCCGCCGAGGGGGGAGTGCGAGCCGGTCGCCGGGGTCCCGGCTCGGGGTGCGGGAGGACGGGACAGCGGCGGGAGCCCGGCCGCCCCCGCCCGGCCGCGGAGGCCCGGGGCCGCTCCCCACTTACCCCTCCCGCGGCCCGCAGCTCCCGGCGCGTCACGTGGCCGGTCACGCGGCGCCGCAGCCCAGCGCGCTCCGCGGGGCGGACTCCGGCCCGGGGGCCCCGCACCCCCTCTTCCCGGGTGGCCTGAGCGCGGGGAGGCGGCCTCCGAGCGGCGTCTGAGGGCGCGGGGAGGCCTGGAGGCCAGGTGTTCCTTCCAGGAATCTGTTCACGCCCGGGCCACGCCCGCCCAGAGAGGTTGGGGGAGGAATCCTCCTTCCTTAGCCTTTCCTGAGGTTGGGCCTGGCTCTGCCTCAGGGTGTTTTGTGTGTGTGTGTGTGTGTGCGTGTGTGTGTGTGTGTGTGTGTGTGTGTGTGTGTGTGTGTGACTTACCTAGATATAACTACAGGGTGTTTCCCCCAAAATATATACACACTTTGAGTAATTATTAATTCCAATGGGTTAAATACAAAAAGAAACATCAGTTGAGCTATACATTTTTAAAAATATATATTTTATTGATTTTTTACAGAGAGGAAGGGAGAGAGAGAGAAACATCGATGAGAGAGAATCATCGATCAGCTGCCTCTTGCACACCCCCTACTGGGGATATGCCCACAACCAAAGTACATGCCCTTGACCGGAATCGAACCCGGGACCTTTCAGTTCCCAAGCCCTTGCTCTATCCACTGAGCCAAACCGGTTTTGGCGAGCTATACATTTTTGTATACATTTTGAATACATTTGGGGGTACGCATAGTAGAGAAAAAGGTGGGTCCCTGGACTCCCCACCAGTCCAAACTATTTTTCCTTGAATATATTTACATTATATTTTACAGAAATGGGAATATACCCCTGCCACCCACAACCAGCTAGGTGGCCACATTCTCCAGTTCCTGTGACTGCTCTGCGTAACCCCTGGGCCCCCGCTGCTCTGCAGACCAGCTTCTCTGAGGCGCCTTAACCTGACGAGACCCAAAGAGACAGGGCTGTGGGGCCTCTTACACTTGGAGGGATTGTTCTTTGGCGTCACTGTTCCTAAAGTTGTGTGTGTGTGCTTTATTTTTTAACATATTTTATTGATTTTTTTACAGAGAGTAAGGGAGAAGGATAGAGTTAGAAACATCGATCAGCTGCCTCCTACTGGGGATGCCCGCAACCAAGGTACATGCCCTTGACCAGAATCAAACCTGGGACCCTTCAGTCTACAGGCTGATGCTCTAGCCACTGAGCCAAAATTGTGTGTGTGTGTGTGTGTGTGTGTGTATGTGTGTGTGTATTTAGAGAGAGAGGAAGGAAGGCTAGGAGGGAGAGAAACATCAATTTGTTGTTTTACTTATTTATGCATTCATTGGTTGATTCTTATACATGCCCTGGCATACATTCTTTTTTTTTTCTCAATATATATTTTTATTGATTTTTTACAGAGAGGAAGGGAGAGAGATAGAGAGCTAGAAACGTTGATGAGAGTGAAACACTGACCAGCTGCCTCTTGCACACCCCCTACCGGGAATATGCCCACAACCAATGTACATGCCCCTGACCGGAATCAAACCTGGGACCTTTCAGTCCACAGACCGACGCTCTACCACTGAGCCAAACCGGTTTTGCCTGGCATACATTCTTGTACTAGTATATGCCCTTACCAGGGATTGAACCTTAGCATATAGGACTGATGCTCTAACCAACTGCACTACCCGGCCAGGGCCTTGGAATAGCTCGTTTTTAATTCAGTCAGAAATCTCATCTCAGCATGAGGATTGCAGATGTTCACAGTGAGGTGAACATCTAGTCTTCAAGCACATCAGATAACATGGGCTGGAATGCAGCAGCTGCCGTCAGTCTTTCCAGGAAGGGTGACTCCATGTGACTTAACAGGCCATGCCTCTTTCTGTAGGGAAGTCTGGAATCTGTGCAGTCAGCACGGGGACAAAACAGACCTGGCCTAGAGAATGCTGGTCTAGCCAATCTCCACTTCTCGGTGAGTGACTCAAGCAAATGACTCACTCCTCCAGCTCTCATTTTCTTATCTGGTGGAACTTGGGAGTTTAGAGGGAATTAAAGTAAACTGACCTCAGGTGGCTGTTGTGTGTATTACACAACAGCCACCTGAGGTCAGTTGAAATGTTAGCAGAGCATGGCATTCATGGCTAGCCATGATTAACTTTATTTCCTCTTACTCTCCTTACAGCCCATTCTCTAACCCTGAAATGCTCTCCACCACCCTGACCTCCTGCCCCCTTCACACTCCTCCCACTCCATGCCTGGATTTAAACTATTACCCATACCCATCATCCCATCCCCTTGTGTTAGATCTAAAATTGACTGACTAATTTGAAGAATCACAAGTTCACTCACCCAGTGGAACTGTTACTGAATGAGAACCCTGCCCTGAGCGGGTTTGCTTAGGCTGGCTGGGTGGTGTGTGCCTTCTTGACTTCATGCAGGAAAGATTTCACATGACAAGTCCAGGTGATGTTTAGAGAACATTTATTGAAGCTGGGGACAGTGAACAAAGAAGGACCTAGAATAGAAGAAACAACAACTAGAGGGACCAGGCAGGGAAATGAGCGAGGCTGGGCTGAGAAAAGGGGACCTCGGGGACAGGTTCAGGGGGTTAGCCCGGGACGAGCTGCCGCTGCCCACTGCTCCCTGATTGCAAGCCTTCTCTCTGTCTTTCCCTCTTCTACTCTCTAAAAAGATCAATGGAGCTCTCACCCGTGTGGCTGAGTGGATAAGCATCAGCCGGTGGACTGAAGGGTCCAGGGCTGGATTCCGGTCAAGGGCTCAAGGGCACATGGGTTTCGGGCTTAATCCCCAGTGTGGGGCATGCAGGAGGCAGCAGATCAACGACTCTCTCTCATCATTGATGTCTCTATTTCTCTTTCCCACTTCCTCTCTGAAATCAATAAAAATATATATTTTTAAAAGATCAATGGAAAAATATCCTTAGGTGAGGGTTAACCAAATAATAATAATAATAATAATAATAATAATAATAATAATAATAAATAAAAATCCAACATGTGAACTGAGCAGTGAAAAGGGGTACAAGCTTGATATGTATGTGTGGGGTAGGGTGGGGAGGGGGCAGGATGATTTCTGAGCCTGGTGACCCTTCTGCACCAGGGTGGACCTCTGAGGCCGGCCGGCCAGCTGTGCGGAATGTTTCCCACATCCCACGTCTCCTCCACATCACAGGGCACAGGAAACAGCCTGGGGCTGTGAGGGGAGCAGTGCCATCCCACAGAGCAAATACCAGAGAAACAGAACTCACAAGAAATGCACTACGTTGCACAAGCAGCGGAAGGGAACAGGAACCACTCTTAAGTTATTCCGCATCCGGTTTGGTTCCTTGGGGCGCTCTGCCGCTAAGAGAAATAAAAACCAAGAAGGGTCCTCCAGAGTGTCCTTCAAATTTCTTTGCTGGAGGTCTCTTCATTTGCAAGTCAGTCCACTTGGAATATAATCGCTTCTTTCCCGGCAAAACAGATCTCTGCAACACAAAATGTACTGCAGAGAGATAGTATGACAAAAACCTTTGAAAATTGAGGGGCTGAGAGCGGTGGAACCCGCCGTAGCAGATAATCACCATTATTATAGCAGCAAGTACTGGCTATGTATTGTGTCCTAGGGGCTGTTCAAGTGCTTTGCATGCATAACAATTGCTCTGAGATAGACACCGTTATTCCAGTTTTACTGATGAGAAAACTTAGCAGACAGAGGTTTAGAACTCACCCAAGGTCATGGCCGTGGCAGATCTGGGGTTTGGGCCCGAGCTGTCTGTGCTTCTAGGCGTTTGATCATATTCTCTCCAAAAGAGAGCTTCTCTAGCACAGCCTTAAAACCAATGAAACACATCAAGCATTCACTACAGACCTCCTGTGTGCCTGGGCCTGGCTGAGGTGTCAAGGACATTTGGTGTTTCTGAGTGCCCACATAGCTCCTGGAATTTGTTATTTAAAATGGAGATGGAATTCTCATGACAAAAATAACCATCTTAAAATTCAGGGGCCTTTAGTACACTCACAATGCTATGTAACGCCATCTATTTAATTCAAAACTTTCATCACTGCCTAAGGAAACTCCCTACCCAGGAAGTAGTTTCTCTACTTCCTCTTCCCTCCAACTCTTGGAAGCATCCATGTTATATAAAAACCGCTGTTTAACCCTGCTATTTGGCTTCTGTAAATGCTTGCTTGCTTAAATAATAAGGAAAATAAGACTACTCCCACGTCAGAGAGGCCATTAAGCCTTCCCCAGGCAAAATTATCAGTGCTGGCACCAGGCCAAGCCTTTGGTTGAGGTCTCAAGGCCCCAGTACATAGGGGCTCTTTAAGAACTTGCAAAGGGGGCCGAGACCGGTTTGGTTCAATGGATAGAGCGTCGGCTTGGGGACTGAAGGGTCCCGGGTTCGATTCCAGTCAAGGGCATGTACCTCGGTTGCGGGCATGTCCCCAGTGGGGGGTGTGCAGGAGGCGGCTGATCGATGACTCTCTCTCATCGATGTTTCTGGCTCTCTATCTCTCTCCCTTCCTCTCTGTGAAAAATCAGTAAAAATATATTAAAAAAAAAAAAAGAAAGAAGAACTTGCAAAGAGGTCCAGAAACACCCCATTTGGGAGACAAAGAAGGTAAAAACATATAAATAGGGAAAATTCCTCCATGTTAGGCCCAGAATTTGAGAGACATTTTCCGCTGGACCCGCGTGTAATAAATGTAATGCCATCTCTCTTAAGTATGGCTTGGTTCTTCTCCGGTTTTCTGTAACACCCTGATAACCAA